TCTCTTATTCAAAAATAAACATGTTTATGTTTCAATAACATATTACGTAAATGTGATCTGATACAACAGTCTATAGGTGTAACTAATTACATTCAAGGAAAAAGCTGATAGGTGTCTTCATATTCCCTTTCTTACCATTGTTTGGAATTTTTCTAAGTTCTTCTATATATGTAGAAGGCAAGCCAGATTCCATTGCTCCTTTAATTAAGACCTCCAAGTAGATTTGAGATGGTTGCCGCTCTTTAGGCAGTATCTCTCCGTCTCTCAGGGATTCAGGTGTTAAGCAGAGTTGGTAACTTCGACAATTAAGCTCATTACCATTCATTGTCTCTATACATACTTCAATAGGGAAGTACATGTTCTGGTGTACACCTTCTTGTCTGTAATGGTGTTTAATACTACATGTTACAAAATAATAATTGTAATGAAAAAAGTAGTGACAGGAAAGAATGCCATAATTCTATGATATATTTTTGCTGCAAAGATTGGGGAAATAAATTATTAGTCTGAATTACACGAACATAAAAGTTACATGACAACAAAGTTTGTTAACATTATATTAGCTTCACAGAAAATTGTTATCCAGGCTTAATGTGAGTGGGCACTTGTAACAAGACAGGTACTAAAATTGTACGAGTTTCTGAATGAAATCTACGTAGTCATTATTCACTTGTTCATAAATTTCCCTTATGCTGAATATACAATATTCTGTATTCAATTAGCAAAGCAATGTAGTAGGTAAATTCATCCCTAGTGGAATGTATCCAAACACAATGTTGGTAAAGTTGAGAATATTAGTGTATAAATGGGTCATCCAAATACACAACAAATTAACAAAGTGTTTAAGAAATTGACAAATTCTTTTGCTTTAAAGTGTAATGAAGTTCTACTAATTAACAGTGTTTTTAAAAAAAATTCATATTTATTAAATTAAATTCACAGTGTTAAGTATGCTAAATTTGGTATGAAATTGCTATTTATATTAACTATTCACTGGTGTTGGCTTAATGAGAAAATGGCTTGTGCAATTTGAGTGCCTAAAAATTTGAAGCTGAAGACATTTATTTTTAATTAAATACTACTCCCCACTAGTGACTGACAACCTGATTTACATCTTGTTCAAAATACTATATCCAGACTGATGAGCAGAATTAATAAATCGTGAAAATTGCTACTGACCAAAAACACACCATCTACAATTTCTGAAGTAATTACTTATGACAGGGTTATTTTAGTCATAATATCTACAATGTCCATAACAGTCGCATATTACACCCTGAAGCTAAAAATGTACAACTTATTAATTAAATTAGAATATTTAAAAATGTGTCAAAAGTTGATGCTTGCTTAGCTATCACAAGGAAACCCTTTAAAGTTTACAGAGTTGGCGTTTAATGTAAGGTATTGTAAAAATCATAATTTCACTTAAAATGCTGAAGAATGATTTGCTAAACCAATACATAATGTGAAAAGAGAGGTTTTGTAAAGGGCTAAATTCTGACATTCCACAATATTGACAAACTCACCGATCAAGATCCAGTATATTTGAATTATCTACTTCCCATATTGCACCCCATACATGTTTACCTTCATGTGGTACCACAGTGGCAGGGTGGCCACACCATGTGTCTGAATATGGTCCACCAAAGTCTAGTCTGTAGTCCTTAAAATAAATAAACAAACAAATATTTAAAAAAAATACAAACACATACACACAGACATATCCATTTGCTTATATCCCTTCTCCCTACTTCTCTACAAAATTTCAATACTGCTAATGATGTGATAAACCAAAGTAACTGTCTGTGTCTGAGAACGTTTCCTGTATTACTGATCTTGCCTTTAGTTTTCCAATTCCTTTTAGAACTGCAGAAGGGTTGTTTATATGAATCCTCTGAGCCAGCAAATTACTTCCATATGCAAAGTAGAGAAAGCTTTTCGTCATTTCGTCTACTAAGGATAACCCTTTGAACCCTGTAGTTCTTGTAATTCCAATGGATATTTTAGATAGCGACTGTACACTGGAATCTTGCTTCACTTTGCTGTATCATGTGGATCTTCCTTTATCTACAAATTAAACAAATGATGTCAGCACATTGCATAAATATGTGAGGTACAAGTAATGTGTTGACATACATAGTATAGATGCTACTCTTAAAATATTATTTATAATACCCATTACTGTTACCATGATTTAGACCAGTGTGAGGTGGTTATGATATAAGAACAGATAAAATACATTTCTGTCAACATCAACTAGCTTGCATCATTCTCATGGAATAAACATCCATATACATATACTGCCAGTAAAAGGCAGTGAAGATAACAAGTTGTACCTACATAACTCTGTCATGCAGAGTCCCTGAGAAGCAGATAGTTGCTCGGCTAGTGCAAGAAATTCTCTGCCTTTCATGGCACCCAGAGGTTAATTACAGTGTTCACAACAGCTTCCACCAGATTATCATCCTGAGCTAGATTTATCCTCTCTACCTCTTCAAATCTTATTTGAGGTCCATTTTAATATTATCCTCCCAGCAAACATATGACTCCCAAGTGGTGTCATCCCTTCACATATTCAGACTAAAATTGTGCATGCATTTCTTGTCATTTTGACATGTGCTTCTTGCACTACCCATCTCATCCTCCATTAATTAACAACCCTAATAATATCTGGGAGTCAGTATTAAACAGACATGATGTAGATTCAAAGTTTAGCACATTCCTAAATATCTTCTTAGGAAATTTTGAAGCAAGCTTCCCCATCAAAACAGAGAAAACGATGAAGATTTCTGTGTTCTGGGTTGTTGTGCTGTGTAGTCTGGTAGATGTTTACCAACGTTTCAGAGGTCATACTGCCTCCGTCATCGCCCTGATGACAGAGACAGTATGACCTCTGAAACGCTGGTAAACATCGACCAGACTACACAGCGTAACAACCCAGAAGACAGAAATCTTCATACTCACCACTGTGAAAACCTCAAATCTCACAGAGAAAAAGATGTTCGAAAATAGAGAATGGACTACTAAAGGTATTAAAACATCTTGTAAACATAAACGAGATCTTTACCTAAATTGCCGAGCTAGTAACAACCAAATAATGAAAAGTCACTACAGTAAATATTGCAAGATATTAACTCAAGTCATTAAAGAGGCTAGATGTGCGCATGACAATAAACAGATATTAGAGTCAAATAACAAAGTAAAAACAGTGTGAAAAATTATAAAAAAGGAGACAGGTAAATATTCTACAGAAGAAGTGGCCCCATCAATAAAGATAGAGAATAATACAATAAAGAATCCCAAACTCATAGCAAATTCTCTCAACACTTACTTCTTAACAATTATATAAAGAATTAACAATGACACTACAACCATAACAACAGAAGACGCAATAAAGTGCCTTGCTGAAGCAATCCCTAAAACCTTTCCAAATTTAAGTCTTATGCCCACATCAACAAATGAAATTTAAAGTATAATAAATTCTCTCAATCAAAAAATTCATGTGGTTATGATGAAATATCTACAAAGTTACTAAAAAGCTGCACAGACCAGATTAGTGCTCCTCTAAGTTATCTGTGCAGTAGGAGCTTTCCCAGAATGACTCAAATATTCAAAAGTTAAACCCCTATATAAAAAAGGTTAAAAATCTTGCATGTCTAATTACAGACCAGTTTTATTACTAACAGCATTCTCTAAAATATTTGAAAAAGTTATGTGTAAGAGAGTAAGTGATTTCTTAAACTCAAACGTCTTTGCAGGTGAACAATTTGGATGTAGGAAAAAAATCTCAACTGATAAAGCCCTGTTCAGTTTTACAGATGAAATCTTAAGTGCACTAAATAATAAAGTGCATGTTGGTGGAATATCTTTTGATCTTATTAAAGCATTCAATTGTGTAAATCATGAATTATTACTATTAAAACTAAATTTTTATGAAATTCAAAATATAGCTGGCAAGTGGTTTAAATCATACCTTCATGACAGAAAGCAACAAGTAGAAATAAAATCATCACATTCAAATGATAGCACCTAGTCAAATTGAGGCATTGTAAAACATGGAGTGCCTCAAGGTGCAATACTTGGTCCTCTGTTTTTTCTCATATATATCAATGATCTGCCCCCAACCATCAACTCTCATTCTAAACCTATACTCTTTGCTGATGATACTAATATTATTATTTCACATCCAGAAATTGACTGTTTTCAAAACTGCATAAATGATGTCTTTGCTAGATTGAACAAATTGATTAAAGCCAATAAACTCACATTAAATTTTGACAAAATAAATTTCATGAAATTTTGTACTAACAACAGAACTTGTGTAAATCTAAATATAGGGTATGTTGATAAAATAATCGAGGAAATAGAAACTAAATTTCTTGGCCTACAATTTGACAAAAAATTAAACTGGAAAACACATATTCAATACATTATCCCTAAACTAAGTTCGGCATGTTTTGCTATAAGGTCAGTTGCAGCACTCATGAAAATAAAAACTTTAAAACTAGTTTATTTTGCTTACTTCCATTCCATCATGTCATATGGAATCATTTTCTGGGGAAATTCAACAGACAGCAAGAAAGTATTTTACACTCAAAAGATGATCATTAGAATAATGGCAGGCACTAAAAGGAGAGAATCTTGTAGGGAATTATTTAAGAATATTATTCCACTACCCAGTAAATTCTTGCTCTCACTATTATCAATGGTAGTGGATAACATGGAAAAATTTCAAACAAATACAGATATCCACAATATAAGAACAAGATACAGAAACAACCTTCATGTGCTGATTTCTAACCTCAGTAAATATCAAAAAGGAGTTTACTGGAATTAAGTTATTCAATAATCTTCCACCTACTATAAAAAAGTTTAAACCACGATATAAAAATGTTTAAGCCAGCGTTAAAAGAGTTTCTCCTATCTCACTCCTACTCAGTAGAAGAATTTATAAATACATGTAAGTAATAATGGTGATGGTTCTCATCATAATTATTTTGCTGTAATGCTGTAGTTCCAAAAACCTGTCAATAGCTATTATAACTATGTATTTATATTTGTACTAGAAACAAGTATTGTATTTGTGCTATGACCTGTTCTACATCCTTGGTTTAGGCCTATGAAGGATCTATGGAATGTACATAAATTCTATTCTATTCAGACAGTGAAATATCAGGCTCCTCATTATGCAGTTTTCTCCATCTCCTGCTACTTCCATGATCCTAAATCCAAATATTCTCCTTATCCTACTCTCACTCACAATATAGGGTGTGAAACTGTTTCTTGTAACTAAAATATTTCCACTTTATTTATGCTGACTGTCTGATAACCAAGCCTCTTCATGCATCTCATGTGAATATTTCCCTTTAACTTCATATTGAGATACACCAACCACAGTGGAAACTGAACATCAGTAAAAATTGTATTGACATAATATAGACAGATAATAAAAATAAATTATTTTAAAGCCAAATTAATCCTGGAAAAAATGGGTTTATGCTTCTTCACTCATTAAAGATAAGTAATCGCACATAATGTGCTGTTCATATAGAATTAACACTGCACATAATTCTCCATATTATCAGTTAATTGTAATAAAATAACTTGCAAGTTCAGAAATAAAAACTGAACTGAAGTATTAGTGAGACACTATTAATATCAATCCGCATCAAGCAATACTACAATATCACATTCTTAAAATATGCTAACATAAACCTTTGCTAATTATACTTGCTTCTGTGCAAAATGTCAGGAAGAAATTAAGGAACTAAGTGGATTGTGACAATCTACAAACAGGATGGTTGGTAGTGGTGGTGGTGGCAACTGTGATGAACAAACAAGCTATTTCAAAGGGAATATTCTAAATGTTCCAACATAAATGAAAATTTCCAATTAGGCCACTTTCTCCTTGGAATTCTCCCATTTCACAGTTTACTACGCAGTTTGGGAGAGTTATTCAATCTAATGGCACCCTGACAGTGCATTTCTGCATTTTCACATGTGTGACTGCTTCCTATCAAACTTCTCTTGATTCTCCATTCGACATTACACTTAGTTTTTATTTGATATTAATCATCTCCACAGATGATATAGCATTAAATGGTAATTCACATTTACACCAGTTAGGAGAACACTGACTAGAAATTCATTTTGTGAAAGTCTTGTGCATAACTTATGCATTTTCAAAATGTATTCTTTAACAAAATATTAATAAATCTGCTAGGATTCGAAGTACTCCACTCAAGCCATTAAAATCATCTACGATTTACAAAATTACTTTACATAAAATAGGTGAACCGTTTTATTTTATTTCTGAGTTGCTTGCGGACTTAGTTATTGCTATAAATTCATGAATTCTGATAATGACATGTAACTTTAATTTTGTGACTTGAGAAATTTTACCTTATTTCCAATGCACATAAACCCTCTTACTGCTCAAAATCAGAAAATGCAGCCTGAAGAACCTGATTCGCCAAGTGGAGGTTTGCCCTCTGACTTTTCAACCAGAAAAAAATCTGTTGTTTTCAATTTGTCTACTATCAAAAAATGGATTAATTTTTTTAAAAAGTAGTTCTATCGTTAATATACTATACTGAAAGAGTTAAATTCATAAGTCACTGTTACATTTCGGAAGAATGAGTCGTCTCCTTAACTATAACGTATGTATTTCTGTTACGAGTCCAATAGTGTCACTTATCAGCCCAGTCTGTTAGACGGTATTGTAGTTCCACGAAAGAAATATTGGTATTGTGCGACGCGTAGTTGGGTTGTGAACGTATTTCCCCGAATTAATTATCAAGTTCTGCCAGCAAAAGGAAAGGTACGACGAATCCTATTTTATTTTTGTAAATTAATAATTTCTTAAATATGAAAAGTAATAGTATGAAATTATTAATATGTAAAACAGTACATCAATGAGTAGTCAGGTGATGCAGTTACAGGTGGTGTAATGAGTCAGTAATGACATGTTTGCATTACTCGAAATTCGCATTATAGAAAGAACAGGGTGAATTTTTAGGTTAGAAGCAGCAGCACTTAACTGTGTCTTCAAGTGGTTCTAAGAACGGATTGTGCAAGGGCGTGTATTACGTTTTGGAAGCACAATGAGCAAATTCAAAATGGTTACCAGTATCATCTCCATTTTTAGGATGTTGATGAGATAAACAGTATTTTATAACATTTCAAAAGCAAGTAGATATACATAATTTAGGTATGACGTAGCTGTGGAAAAAAATCTTGTTTTAACGTACTGTGTAGGTCTGGAGTATCGAATAAACAAGTAATTATAGGTAGTAATTTACCCAACCCATTCATTGTCCACTATACGAGATTTGGCACATTCGTAACCGTTTAGTTTCCATTATCGGCGTGTATCAAATGTTTTTCAATCATGTTTTGCAATTGTCATGTTTATTTCTCCCTATACGAAGCATGCGTCTTTATTCACATTGTATAACCATCAGCATGTGCTTTTCACTGTCCCTCATATTGAACATAAAGGCTATCACAAAATTGTATGAACAACAAATGTAAATTTATTAATACTATTTAAATGTTATTGTTAATGCTAGAATATGTGGAACTTAAGTCCATTTCTCATACATGTTCATAGTGTGGTTTTTAGGCCAGGGGCAGCTGAAATTACATAATTGTGAGATCCTGCTACATGGGAGTAAAACTGTTAATTGAATAAAAATTTTCTTGGATATTATCCATCGTCTAGTAAATATAAAACGTAAAACGACGTTTCGGAGATGGGACTCTATCTCCGTCTTCAGGTTCCTACACAGTTGGGCCCACTAGATAGAGCTAATCCCTATCTCTGGACGAGATAGGTCCTAGGTCCGGAGATAGGGATTAGCTCTATCTAGTGGGCCCAACTGTGTAGGAACCTGAAGACGGAGATAGAGTCCCATCTCCGAAACGTCGTTTTACGTTTTATATTTACTAGACGATGGATAATATCCAAGAAAATTTTTATTCAGTTGACTCTTCACCATTGTCAAGAAGTTTTAGATTTGAAGTAAAACTGTTGCTTATACATTGGGAGGAATGTTTGTAGGTATTTGAAAGGAACTGGTCTGTGTTGTAATGGTACATGAAAACCATTTCAGTAATCTTCCATTTTTCATTTTCTCAGGACAGTTTTGAAGGTGTACATAAATATAGATCCAGGAGAGCCAGCTGAACTTGACTTGAAAGAAGATTTGAAGCTGTCTGAGGAGGGAATTTAATGAGCACTGTATGTACTATTGATGTGTAATTTCCTATAGTAGCCATCACAAAATTAGGTGTTTGAAGGTTACAGTAAATTCTTAGAATTTCAACTCCAGTAGCAGGGTCAAGAATACATTTAATTACAGGTATCCCTCGATTTGCACTGGTTCAATTTGCGTTGATTCAGAATAACGCCGATTTTGAAATCAGCAAGTCAAAAAGTGAAGAAAAAAAAATTTACTATTATTTATAACGTTTTACATGTATCGTACTGCTTCTTATACTAAATCATAATTCTTACATCTCTGATTTTGAATAAAAATTATAAATACAATCGTCTCTGCAATTACGTATGTTTCGTTAATGCGAATTTGCTCCAATGAGATAGATGAATCGTAAATGCTGTTTGTGAAATACAAACTTTTGCATATGCGAGTATGCTCTTAAGCAATTTACACATTCAAAGGACTAATTTAATCTCTGCAGAGGTATCAGGGTTATTTTAACTACGCAATTTTCTATAGGTTGGCGTCTTACATAAATGCAACTATCGCGTAACAGCAGAGATGACTGTACACATCAATCAGTCAATCTTTGTATCAGATCACATTTACCTAATATGTTGTTGAAACTTAAACATGTTTATTTTTGAATAAGAGAATTTAATATTATAAAAACATATGTTTTTACAAGTTCAAGTTACTGAAATTATATATTAAATATATGTGAACACAACTTATAACCAGACTGTAACCTGTACTTAGATAAACATTTCAGAAATCAAACTATAATACCTTGAAAACAAGTATTATATTACCCCAAGATTTATTCTTAATAAAGGTGTCCTTTTGGCACAGTCTGAATTATCCAGTATCATATTCTTATAAGATTTGACTCTACATCCTTACTTTGAAATATCAAATTACTGACTTCTCTGATATACAGCATTCAATTTATGATTGTGGTGTATTTTATGTTGACTTATGCAGAAACTGGCAATGATATTCATATTCCTGTACAATAAACTTCAAACAGAAGACACCACCATGTCAGAAGCTGTTCCAGGATAAGTAATGAAACTGGGGTGACAGATAATTACGCACTTTGAAGGAGATAATTGTAAGTAGCATCAGCAGTGAAATCACTTTGGTGATTTAATTGTTGATGCTACTTAACAAATTGCTTTGCCTCAGCTCTTGTAAAGGACATTAAAGTGGAAATGAGATCCTGACGTTCTCTTTGTCATTATACTGAGAGGAGGAGTATTTCTATTCTTTCAAAGTGAAGGTAAGTGAGGATATATTATTAATTATTTAAATGAATGCATGGGAGTGAAGAGGGCACAAGTCAATGACAAAAGTTGTCATTCAGGCTATTAACAGATGAATAAACAATGGTAATAGGTTTTAAAGATGCTGAGTTATGAAGTTGTTGAACATGTTGTGAGGATATCTTACACAGAACTGAATGCTGGACATCTGTCAGTGTTGAAGGAAAGAAAGGAAAATTGTAATTTGCCTTTGTGACAGTGTCAGGCATGAGGCCTCTCTCAAAGTTGTTGGTAATTTATAAATGAGATGGAGGCCTCATAATTTGAAGCCCAGAACAAGAAGAGTTATAATTTTTTAGCTCTTTTTTGTTTTTGTTTGTTTGTTTTGTGAATTTATAGAATATTGTATAAGTTATAGGCAGAATATGGGCCACTCATACAGGTTGCTTTCAAAACAGCTTCTGTAATATGTTTGATACTGTGTATTCTGGTCTGTTGTAGTTGACTATGCTGATATGTTGGTAGGTCAGAAGAAACAAAGCAACAGTCACTGGATTTCTTGTTCATTTGCTGAAGGGGGTTAGCTGCAGAGTGAGAGCACCAACACATGAAGATGTGAATTTGTGCTTCACACATTTGCTGCCACCTTTACTGACTTGATGGCTAACCATATGAGAGAATGTGTGTTTTATTGCTCTTTGTGAGAAATAATGTACCTGATAGTAGTTGCAGTATTATATTTCAAATCTTTTCAAAGGAACCCTAAAAATGTGGTATGACATGTATGTGCATCAGTAGCACTGATAGTGGTTCAGTGGTTCATATTCTATAATGCTCAGTCCTCTCCTACTTGATGATGGTGAGGACAGAACAGCTGTAATGTTATCAGCATGCTGAACATTGGAAATATTTCTCCTTGTGAAATGACTACAGAAAAATGTTTCAGACAGAAATTGCTTTATTTCAAACTGTTCACTAAGAACTTATTCTAACTACTCTAATATTAACACAAGGTCAATTTAAAAAAAGAGGAGAAGACTGACAGTGTCCATTAAATGGTACAGCTCTCATCAGCTTTTGTAATATTGTACTCTCCAAATGGATTTCTTATTTGAAAATAATTGTAAGTCAGTGTTGTAGACCAAGAAAGGTACAGTGATTTGGGACGATGTTAGCTCTCGGGCCTCACAGTATACTCTCCCAGCAACAAGGTCGAACTCCAGACTTTAAAAGAATGGAATGGAGTGAAGGGAGAAGTCAGAGGTTTGGGTGTGGACAGACCGTAGTACAGCCTGTGAGATCTTGGAAAAAGCATATTTTCATGGGCTGAATTGCATGAAGCAATAGTTCCTTAAAAGCTGACAGCTGGCCAGTCTGTCGAGGAAACCCTGGTTTAGCCTAATTGAAGGTTAACAGTTTAATCTGGTCCACGTTCTGGTTAATTAAACATTTGGTTTGGTTGATATTTTTTATGATATGATCCACGTCCTATGCTTGCACTGTGAAGGATCTATGGAATGCAAATAAATTATGTAAAAATCCCATTCCTGTATAAGTCTCAATATGATGTGTGTTCGGAAATGTCACAGAGCCTGTTCGGGGTGTAACTTTGCCGTTGTGAAGGTCGGGGGAAATATGTCTGTGTCTTGATCTATGTAAAAAATTCAGTTTGTAAGATTCATGAAGATACCCTATCAGTACTGTTCGAGTGTAAGGACGCAAGGACCATAATGCATTCGGATCGAGAGCTTGTCGGTTACTTTTCTTTTAGTTGGAAGAATGTGTAGACATGTTTGATTGAATTGGTGTTTCTCGGTTGCGTAGTCCATTTTCTGGCAACCAAAAGGAAAAGGAAAGAGGTAAGATGATTCAGTCAATACTTTTCAGAGATTAAGTAAGTGAAACAAAAAAAAAAAAAACAATAATGGCGTCTAGTGATGTAAATAACACGTATGGAGCCGTTGTACTGTTTGAAGAAATTCGTATTGCCGAATGAAATTGGTCCTGACGTGCCCATTCAAGAATTTGTAGATGATGAGCACAGATTGCTGTGAAGAGTTTTTGTGTATGCAGATAGTGAAAGAAATTAGGTTTTGAAATGCCGTGTCTCTGGAAGTGAATGCGAACAGGGAATTCAAGATGGTTGCGTTTATGATATTTCAGCGTTTCAAAATTAAGTAAACTCCCGTTCTTTAGAAATTGTTCCGTTGACTGCCAAACCGAATTTTGAATAATTTTCCTCGCAGGGCGAAACCATTAATAATAGTTTTGGCTGCACAGATGCTGTAATGTCTCAAAATATAAAAGACTTGTCACAGGTGAATGGAATTTTCCTGACATTGTGTGATTCCCTCATTTGCAGATCTTCCATTATAGTTATTTTTGGGATATGGGAATTTATGTAACGGAGTTGTCTCGGATTATTATACGCTGCATATGAAAGGCCAATGTGGGGATGGGAACACAATTTTTTGTGTTTATAAGAACATAGAAAATAATCATTTAAGTGGGTGAACACAGTTTTAAGAGCCTTAATCTGTATTAATTTTGTTTTGGAATTTAGAACAATAAACCGAAACCAGTTTATCCAATCAGATGATACTTGTACCAGTTCTGCTGACTAATGAGACAGATACCAGAAACTGTCACATGTAAAAGACTTGCGTATTATTGTGAACACTGGAATGTGCGGAGATTTACCCCCATTTCATTTTATAAAACTGCTTAAGTTTTAGGAAGAGTAGATAATGAAACAAAGCGATAAGTTTAGTATGAGAACATTGGAGTTGCAAAGTTCTGAGTGAGGCCTTACATCATGGAATGTAAATTAACAAATAACATAACAACAACAATATTCTGTTACGGAAAGTTTCAGTCCCTAAGCTGGTTTATCGGTCCAGAGCTGTGATTTTTCAGTAGGTTGTTTCAACATGGATGCAGAGGTCTTGAGACAGTGCAAAGTAAAGTAGAGTAAAGCAAAGCCATGTAGGTGCTCTGGGTGAGGGGGAGTATAGCTCCTCCTCATTCTCAGCCTGAATGGTTGGTGTCACTCTCTGGCAATGCTTCACCCCTGGAGAAAGGACTCCCAGTACCCATTGGATAGAAGGCTGGAAAAAGATCCTCTGCCCCAGGGATCAAATCCCAATTATGCAGCTTTTAGGAGACAGTGTTAGGTAGTTATTTTTTCAATCATCTGCTCATAACTTGAAGTGAGTGACCAACCAAGGTAATGCATGAATGTGCCATAAAAACATTGCAGGTATTAATCGAGTATAAAACTAAGAACTTGGCCCTTTGAAATCTGCCTGCAGCTGATATGTAGGCTTCTTTATTTACAGAGAGCTGGTTCATCTAAAAGCAGGAGAGATGATCCTGAAGCTGAGAGATGCCACCTGATGTGAATGATCTGTGCCAGCTGCAGCTGACCTACCAGATTGGGGACAGACTGAAGAGTGTCAAGAAGAAAGTGGAGGGTCCTTGTTACTACTGACAAACATACTAAGGTAAACAAGCTTAGTGTTCACAAAATCTATTACAATAGTTATCAGAGTGGCATTGTAGCATTTTGTTTGAGGGTGGCCTGGAAAGTTTTGTTTCTTTGTATAGAGGAAATGTAACCTCAAAATTTGATTGATATTACACCCAGTACAGTTGAACACCATATTTTATACTAATGAAAACATTGAACAATCCTTGTGAACAGGTAATTTTATACATCTGCTAGGTGTATTTTAAAATTTGCACATTACTGTCATGTTACCATGACACTCTGCTGCTTTGTTTCTTACAGAAGTAGGTACGATTACTGTTATTGACTGTGACCATTTCAGGTACAGTTACTACTCACTTTATGCCTAGAAATGATATGTAATTGGAAGCCTGAAATGAGTTCCCTTTAGTACAGTTAGGGCCACAGTTTTAGCAACTTCTGTGAGTCATGTTGCAAGATGCCATTTCATTGAAATTTGTAATTCCTGCAACAAAACATGGACTGAAAGAGGTGAAATTTGTCATTTTCACTCTAATGTGTAGGGTCTACAAGCTCACAAAATGTAATTGAAATTCAAAGGGATTAGGTTGAAAATCTTGTTGTTTTGACATGGAGTGGCAGTCCACATGCACTGCTTTTAGAGGGGCTGTGCAGATTGAATTCTGCATGTGCTTTAAAGGTAGAAATGAGACTGGATAGGTACTTTAAATTCTGAATGGCACTGCTGGTTACAGTGAATGCTGTGAATAGGAACTGACTTGCAACTAATGCGCAGGTGTATTGTTTTTTTCTCTTTCTTTCTTTCTTCTGTGTTAGTTGGTAGGGACACTGCTACCACAATGATTCTGAAACATGCAGTTAATGGTTGTACTCGTGATGCTTTGAAATAAAGTGACTGTCTTAATTTTGTCTTGTTTACATATGGGCACCCAATACTGCATAATCCTTGTTGCACAAAGTTCCTAAGCAGACCTGTAAGCCCACTTACAAGAGCAGGTTATGCACATTACACCTGCATGAGTGTATCATGTGTGTATGATTTCCTTCTCAAGTTGATCTTGAACGTGGAAAGATTTGGGTGCAACTGACATGTGCAATAGGAGAAATTGAACACAGTATTAGTCTTAATTGCCCAAGATTTATCAGCAGACAGCTGCAGCCTTATTTTTTAGCATTTAATGTGAATGATTCTAAAATTTTCTAGCCATTTTGTTAATTGGAACATTGCTAAAGAGCTCATATTTTAGTTATCCTTTTTGATTTACTTTCTAATGGAAATAAAAGTCAAAATTCACTGCCCATACTCTGTGACAAGAAAAATTTAAGGCCCCAAAAAGTTAATGCATTTTACTATTGTTATTATTGCCAAGTTCAAGCCCAGTAAATACAGTTCTCATTTTTGTTGATCTTCCAGAGAAATTAGGTACATTTTAATAAAATAATTGGTGTTAATTTGACACAAGGTGCTTGGAAAGGTGGCTCCCATTCCTCCAGAACAGAATACAAAACAATTACAAACCAGTCCATCCTTCATGCAGTAGTTAAAACCATGATTGCAAATGATCTACAGTAATAACAGAAGATACAAATTGCACTTGTCCCCTGTGTTTCTTGTGAGTAGAAGTATGATGAGAAGGGAGCAGTTGCACCTGTATTGTGGGAGGGAGGGAAGGTGATGGCATAACTAAGGCCTTTTATTAAACATTGACTCACTTACCTTAATGCTTGGCTGCTTCAGTGTAACTTGCATCGAGCACAACAGCACAAGAATGTAAACTGCTAACTTCTTGGAACCTTAAGTCATAAATATACACAAAAGAGCATGGTCATTTATCTCTGGAGGTGTTCAAAGTTTCACCACCATTATGGTTATCAGGTTCATTGCCAGAGTCTGTTCTAATTCTGCCATCACTGTTACCTCCCAAGTGTATTTGCTGATCTTTACCCAAAAGGTCTTCTGTATTAATATTCTGATTTTTAATAGTTCACATATGATCACATTTATGTTCCTAGTGTTTGAGGTGGAAGCCAGTTTCTGTCAGTAAATTTAACACTTTGAAGTCCACTAGTAACTATTTACTACCAGTTTTGGTGTGTTTTGATAATACTCAGAATAATTACATCCTCAAACAGCATTAACCAGTTGACCTCCCTTATGAAGATGGTTTGTGTGTCCTTAAGTGTAGGAATGAAATTGCAAATATTATTTAGATGAGGTCATCTGAGGATTAGAACTTTTCTTGGCAACCCAGTTCTCAATTATTTCCCAAATCAGCTCACAAGAAGGGTTAATGAGGCTTGGGTTATGGATTTGTATGAAAGTGGGGTCAGTGGAATGCAGACAGACAACAGACAAGTCACCCTTTCATACAGTGGACCTGAGCTTCTGAAATACAGTCTTTGAAGTTATGTGCAAGTGGTTTTACTCTCTATTTCTGAGAGGTGTGATAGCTCGTACTGCCATGTTCTTATTGTTGGCCTTTGTGTTTTGTGTGAGTTGAAGTGTGACAAGAATGGAACAGTTGCACCTGCATTGTCAGGGTGGGGGGGGGGGGGGAAAAAAACCTTGTTATAAGATGTTGACTCATACTTGCCTTAATGTTTTGCTTCTTCACTGTAACTTGTATCAAGCACCACAGCACAAGAATGGGAACACAAACACACAAAAGAGAATGGTCCCTGTTATACGGAGGTGTTCCAAGTTTCACCACCATTATGATTATCAGGTTCATTGCCAGAGTCTTCTGATTCTGCTGTCACTACTGCCATCACTTTTCACCTCGCAAGTGTATTATTAATAATTTCCTACTGTTTACCCAAAAGACCTTCAGTAATGATGTACTGATTCTTAGTAGTTCAGTCATGATCACATCTGTTTTTTAAGGCTTTTCAGATGGAAGTAAATTTTTTGTCGGGAAATTTAACCCTCTTAAGTCCAGTGGTAACTATATTTTAGTTGCAGATTTTTTTAGTGATATTCAGAATAAAGAGCAATTATTACCTTAAACATCATTACCCTGTTGTTCTTTGTAGTGGAAACAGGTTGTGTTTTTATTGATGTAGGAACTGAAGTAATGTAGGTGAGGTCTTCTAAGGCTTAATAATGTCATCCAACTTCAAGGCCATACTTTACTGCCGTTGGACTTACAAGTTGTCTGTACTGCCATAGTCACAGCTTTTCTCTTGAGTAATGAACAGTAGTGGCCTCACATCCATTGCTCACTAGACTCTTAAAACATGGTTGATCGGACATAAGGTGTGTGTTATGAAAATTATTTATTGTCTAGGAAATGGCGGGCTAGCTATATACCATGGGCTTGCTGTTTATGTATGTGTCTAGTATTTTTAAACTTAATTCCAGAATATTTTCATGAAGGAGTGAAGAGCTTGAGTTTACTTATCCTGTAATAGTATTTACATGATATTAAAGAATGATATGTTAGTTCTGGAATTGTTACAAAGAATATTATACCACCTTCCCTCCTCTCCCGAGTTAAACACTGCATATTGACACAAGAATGAACAAGTTGGTATTGGCTTGACCCTTCCTAAGGCATAGGGAATGGTGAATATGAACAGGGTCCAAGGACCAGGTCTGAGGCCAGATCAACTAGGGTGCCCAATAGATTGGCTTTCTGTTCCTTTCCCGCCCCCTACCTGAAGCAGAATCCAGCTTCCCCAAGTTCTGTAATTTTATAACTTAGACATTGGGCAGCTTGTGAAAGAACAGTTTTGCATACCAGTGTCAGAAACCTTTAATTTGACTACAAGTGACAGGTTCACAAAAGTAAACCTTAAAATGAGACTTCATAAGTAAGTGCTACATGTAACTTGGGCTTCATACTGTGCAGTAGGAAAGTAGCACATGTAACAAATCAGATAAACAAATAATGCTCTTTGAATGATGGAAAATAGAGATGGTATAAAGTATGCATGGAAGTTGGGCCATGTAGGTAGGTAGGTAGGTATATGATTATGTAAATAGACATCTAGAAGAAAATACTGCAAAATGTGTTGTATGTCCAACAGTGATAAGCATTGCCCCAATGAAGGTGTACAAACTGAAAATATGAATATTGTACTAAGATGTGTCATTGTTTATATTATACAGCATGCAAATAATAGAGAATTCCAGCATATTTAATAATTACCACCCAGTATATGAGACTGAGTAATGTATGTAACATATGAAGCAGCCTGTGTCATGTGTGATATATGCTGTGAAGATCGTGTAATCACTGAAATATATAGCCACCAGTAAATAGGCCGTGTTAATTGTAACTTTCTAACCGAGAATGTAGTATTGTACTTGGAAGGAAAGCAACTTTATGTTAAGGTCTTCAACAAGTAAAATAATATGAGACCGTTCTAAAAGATAAAACGTTTAATGTGTTGTTAGGAAGAGTTAAAATTGGCTTCAGGCATTTATCATTGAATTAAGTGCATCTATTGTTGCATTCTAATGAATTCCGTGGAGCAGAGTCCTCAAAGTTAATACGTAGTACACTTTCAATAAATTGCTTACCTTTTATGGAATGTGAAGGTTCATTACTGTGCTAGCAAGAGCCAGCCAGTGGTTCCTGTCCTGGGCCAGATCAGTCCAACCCTGCGAACCTAGTTGTGTAAGATCCATTTTAATACTAGCCTGCCTACCTTCCTGTTGTTGAATCTGTTCCTGGTGACAGAATGCTGTTGTGCAAGTAAAATCATAAGTTATTGCCAAGAGCCACTGGCCAGATTCGTCATTCTATGAATATATATCACCACAGCCTGTTAAACAGTGTCCTTTGTCCTAGAAGTTTCTCCCACCAGAAATATTGTGCCCGTTAGAGCTAGTAATACCAAATACACCCTCTCTGCATGCACACTGCAACATTACAGTGTTGCTTCAAAAGCATGAATGCCATGTCAGTTTTCAGCCCAGTAGTAATAATACTGTAAGTAAATTCTAAAATGTATGTTTTGTAGAGTGAGTTTCTTTTAGACATTTTCTTACAGCTCTGTATTTGTAAAGCCAGACGTCACAACTGCAACATTACGAGGAAAAGGGGCATATGGCGGAAAAATCTTGCAAAATTACATGGTGTGGTTACTACGTACTGGAAGAAGTTATTGCACAAATATGCATTTTGGAATTACCTAAAATTCTAATATTCATTTGAATAATATTGTACTTACGCTACTGACGGAACACGGTAATTTCACCAGTACGGCAGTTGACACAAAAATCCCCCAATCTTACTGGATAGATTTTTGTTTCCCGCGCCCATACTGGTGAAATTACGTTCTTTCGTCAGTAGTAAATGTGCCATGTTATTACTCAATTCAGTAATATAATTGTAGGCAATTTCAAAATGGATATTTGTCCAATAAAGTTTTCCATTATATATATGTGCACGTGCACATACAAGTCCTAACACTAATTTGCAAGTTTACGTCATATATGCCCCTTTTGCTCGTAATATCACTTATGACGTTGACATTACAAATGGCGACTAACAAAATGTAAAATTCACTGACGAAACAAATTACTTGCAGTATTATTACTATTGGTCTGAATAGTGTCATGGCGCTGATACTTTTGATGCATCGTGTGCGCAGCAGAGTGCGTATTCGGTATTAATATGGCGGGTCTAGGTCTTGGACAGCACCAACATAAGCACGATGAATCAGGGCACTCGAGGATGTGAAGTAAAGGAAACTCTCAGTTAGTACAAGAGGCTTGGTGGTCTGGGGGATATGAGGCAAGACTAGGACCCCAGGAATATACTAGACCACCAGGAGCAACTCCACAATTTATCAGGAAGTTCCAAAATTATTACTACCAAGAAAGCCTCGTGGTCTAGGGGGCTAAGACACTAGACCGGTAATGCTGAGATCGCAAGTTCGATCCCACCGGGCGGCAGAAGATTTTTGTCAGCAGCTGAAAGAGCCATCTGGTAACGAATTTTTGTAGCTGCACTAGTAAAAATTTTTATTAGCGTGGCAGCAATTTTTAGTTCGAAATTTTGCCGATAGATGGTGTATGCATTCACTCTGCAAACTATTAGTACCATTTGCCGATAACAGATGGCGTATGCATGCACTCAAAGTAGTGGAAAATTTTTATTAGCGTGGCAGGAATTTTACTTTGTACGCTAAATTTCTCATATTTCGTAGTTCCATTTCCTCCGACAGATGTCATGAGCATGCACTATGGGATATTATAGTATCATTTATTGCCAACAGATGGCGTATGCATGCACTTTAGGTCGTCGGAAAACTTATTAGCGTGGAAAGAATATTACTTTTTACGCTAAATTTCTCATATTCCATAGTTTCAACTGCGCTAATAGATGGCATGAGTATGCACTAAAGGAAATTTTAGTATTATTTGCCAATAAGAGATGGCGTAAGCATGTACTCAGAACTGCCCAAATAATAATCAGCGTAGCGGAAATTCTATTTCTTACGCTAAATTTCTCATTTCATACTTCGTTGTTCAACACAGAAGGCAGCAGCAGCACGCACTCAAAATCCCACCAACAAATAATTATTAGCGTTACTAACAACTTTACTTGTTACGCTAAATTCCTCATATTTGGTAGTTCAAATTGCTTCAAGACACGGAGTAGGCCTGCACTCAGAACTGTCGGAAAAAATTAATAGCGTGGCATGAATTTTATAAAATAACGAAAATTTGGTAGTTCCAATTCCTGCCAATACATGGCAAGTTAATACGGTTAAAAACTTTATTGAACTACAAACAGCACACTAATGTATGGATTGAGATATTATTGTCCAGCTATTAATTTTCTAAAGTGATCTGAATAAAATTAATAGTTGGACAAGTAATTTCAATCCATACCATAATTGACACTATGAAAAATGCATACCTCTAGAAACATTGCTCAAACAAAACAATCAACACACTATAAAGGAATTCTAACACAGAAATACGAGACATGAATGACAGACTTAAAATGTTTGTTGTAAACCAGTAGCTACATACACAATTCAATGTGGTGTTCTTACAACCTAACCACAAAATGTGCATTGATAACCAGGGCTGTCTATTACAAATATGTGGACAATACAACAAAAAAAAAACAGTGTGAAATACATAACTACTGGCAGAGACCTTGCATTCAAAACATTTCTCATGGATAAACACTTTTTCATGTAACGTTCCTCATTTTTTTCAAATGCGGCAACACATCAGAACATAATCCAGCATGCCAAGGCACTCGAAACAGCATGTTCCAACACAATTTACTTGACTTAAGCACAGAGAAATTTAACAGCATTGTAAGGTTGGACAATACACTATTACTATTAACATAACATGACATGACATAACACTGGAGAAATTCAATATATGAAATGCTGTTCTGGGTAACACAAATATGAAGGCAGAAACTCACAAGGAAGCAGCAGCACAGAATGAAGAAATTACAGAACAGGCTAAAAAACAATTGCCACACCTTACTGTTAAATGCAAAGAAACAATTCTAAAGTCAAGACATCTCAGAACATGGGATGAGAATAAGAATACAATCAGAGAGTTTCAGCTAC